TTTAACTGCCTTAACTTCTTAATATCAGTGGCATCTCTCTCATATTTCTTGCAAAATAATTTCTGCTATAATTCTTTATCCATAACAGCAGCAGTAACAGGTTTTTTGAGTTATGGAATAGCAGCATTTACAGCAAATCTGTCTGCAACCATATTAAAGTAAATTCCAACAGACCCTGTTAGTAACATGTTATCCAGTATTTATTAGGTAAATTGCCTTCCTTCAGCACATGCAAGACAATGGAGCAGTCTGAAGAAGGTAAATAACTAATTAACTATGTGAGAAATAAAATGTATATTTTTCTGTAGAATTTTATTTCATTTGAAGAGAGGAAAAGTGAGAACACAAAGACAAACATTTTCTCGACAAGGTGGCAGATGGTGTCAACCTTGTGCAGCTATTTGCTTTTTGGTTTCCTGGCTATTTATTGTTTAAAAAATAGGATGTTCTTATTATAATTTAACAACTGCAGAAGGCAGCAGAACCATTTTTGTCTGTCATCATTTAGGATTTTATCAAACATGACAGTGGGTAATTGCTTGACTTTCTAATCAGTTTGATGCTTAAAACTGAGGGTGATTGAACTGCAAAGGTTTGAAAGTTCTCAAAGTATCTGGGGGTTTTCACAGAACTCACTGAAGGTGTGTCCCCTTTCTCCTGTCATTTAAACCATGTCCTCCATAATCATGGAGACTGTATTTGTGAAAACAAACATACAAACTAAAAGGGAAAACCACTGTATTTTGGGATTTGAAGAACACAAAGAAGCCCATTTGGCCCTGCATAAATTTTTTTTCACTAGAATTTCCCTGTTTCTGTTAGCTCTGCAAGCACGGCTTAAGCAGAACACAAACCTAACCATGTCCAAGTCAGTGTTAGAATGAGTCTGATATTAAGTAAAATGTGTTTGCACATCCTTCTAAAAATGTCTCCTGGGGGCTTTGAGAACTGCCTTTTCCCCTTCAAAAAACATGGAAAACTTCCATAGTAGCTGATCTCTTACTATTAATTAAAAATACCAACATTGTTTCTGGAATTTTTAAATATTCTGTACTGGAAACAGAACATCCTATGCTGAATTGTGGGGAATTCAACTGGCATTTAACATTTCTAATGCTGGTGCTCAAAGGAAAAATTTGTAAACGTGTCTAAGGAAAAATCAGTGGTAGTTGGAATGCTTTTTGCCCCCGCCCTGCTCAGAAGTTCCTACAAAGATTGCCAGTCCATAGTTACACCATGCTACGGATTATTTACAAATGTAATAAAAATCTGAATGCAAACAGGGCCTTGTTCAGAGAGAGAGAAAAATACTACCACAGGTCCTATTACCAGTATTGATTTAATTTCTTTTGGGCTGGGGAAACCTTGGAAGATGTTAAACTGCCAGAAATGCAGAAAACAAAAGACATTGAGTCGTCTTCAGCTGGTGGAGTAAAAGAAAGAAAAAGACATTTTTCTGGGCAGCCGTTAAGGAAGGCCAGAGCTGTGTGAGACACTAGGGTACCTAAAACAAGTTGAGTACCCAAGGGTGTG